ATCTCGACAACCGATTCAGCAACTTATACCTCAGTCGGTGCACTTCATAACTTTGGCACGGAAAGGCAATTCGTTGAAAATTTATAAAATCGGACTACAATTACACCATCTTCCCGCATAACGGTAAATTTCGGATATACGAAAACTTTGATATTTCAATAACTGAGGACGCTCATTTACTCCAATTAAAAGCGGTCCAGCTCACTTAAATCTTAAAATTTTTCTAAAATTTTTTTGGCGTGAGTCTTTAAATATAATAAATTCTATAACTCCAGTTGAAAAACCGCATCTTTTTTTTTTGTTGCACCCTAATGTATGTACATATGTATGAATCCGAGAACAACATGAGTGACTATTTTTGGGGCTCTAAATCTATACAAATAATAATATTGTAACAGGCCGATGTCTGTACATTATAGATATTAAAGAACTATTAATATCGGGTGTCTTTATTAGAGCAATAGAAGAAGATAGATTTTTTTAACAAAGTACAAGTTTCAAATGGCTAAAAATTATGGCCGATTTTTTAGAATTTTTTTTGTCCAGAATGTATCGGTTTTTTTCATGTAAAAATAAATTGTGTGTATTCGCTATATGGAAGCGGACAAAAAAATTCTAAAAAGTCAACCGTAATTTTTAGCCATTTTAAACTTGTACTTTATTCTACTAGAATTCAATGGGATACAAAACTGCATACTCATAATCTTTCTAGGAAATCTAATTAAAAAAGTTAGAAATTTTTACGAAAGTTTTGTTAAAGAATGAACTATATTTTTATAAAAAAATAACCAAAATTAAATATCAACAAAAATAATATATTAAAACTTGTCAAAATGTGGTGCGGCTATAATTATTTCGACCACAGTATGTACGCGATTCAAACAATATTGCTACTTGTGCATTATTTTTACAGAAGACCTTGCCGCCTATTTCTCTTTCAAGTGGAAATTTATTGCGCTACATTGCGACATACATATATGTGTGTATTCCGATTTTTGGACTTGCAATTAATCAAATTCATTTCGCAAATACTTTTACCACTTCTCAGTTATGGCGTTTTCGTGACATGATTGTTAATAAATCAATTTAATAGTGAAATGATTTGAGCATACAGAAAACTGCTTAGCGTTTTTATGGGGAAAAATGTCTAATTCCTCTCGGAATGTGTATTTAGTAAAGACAGTTCAAAGTGAAAAATTAAATAAAATTCGATTTAAGAGGATAAGAAAAGTTATAACGGACTTATCGCCGTCTACATCGTTAAAATACCCCTATGTGCGCCGCTAACAAAAATCATTTATCAAATAGGTGATTGTTTAGGGTGGTGGCGTACTTCCACTGGAATGGAAAATCTTATTGCAAATTGTAGGAATCCACATGTTTGTTATAACACCAAGAGACATACCACAAATTAAGAAGAAAGATGAACCGTGGCAACAGGGAGCCCCCAAAACCTCTATATATATTTCATCATCGATAATGTAGGTACTTACATATTTCGACCTGTGTTATCTGTTTCTATTAAGTTTTGTAGGTCGTAACTATACGTACATACATTAGGGTGGTCCAGAAAAAAAGAAAGTTCGGAATTATAATGCTTTCACCCCCTAGCATTGTTCCATAGCGAAAAAAATATACCCCTATTTTATAAAAATAATTTTTCGTCTAAATGGTACAGATTTCTTAAAAATTTATTTTTCGATCGGAAAACTTTGTTTCTCTTCAGGAAACTTACAATAATCATATACATTTGGTTATTTAACCACCCTTTTTTCTAATATGGACTATTTTTGTAGGTCCCTAAAAACCCCAAAAAAGGCAATTGGGGCGACCCATAAAAAATCGCTAGTATTAAGAAATGGCGAAATAAACAACTCGGTTTTGTTAGTGGAACTCTCCTGAAGAGAAACACAGTTTTCCGATCGAAAAATATTGATTTTCAAGAATTCTATACCATATCCACGAACAAATTTTTTCCCCATACAAAATACATCGAAAACTTTGAGCGTTTTGATTTTTTTGATTTCAAAATGAAAAAGTACGGAATATAATTTTTCGGAGGAGAACAATCCTAGCGGGTGAGAGCATTAGAATTTCGTCTTAAATTTTTCAACCTAATGAACATACACATACAGTTGTCCACAAAATAATAGGAGTGGGATATTTTAACCTGTTTTGGCTATTTGTCTTTAGTTTATTTAATGTTTCGTATTTTTTTGTAAAAGCCTAGCTGGTAATACAACAAACACCATATAAATTTACATTTTCAAGTTTGTACAAAAATTATAAAAATTCTGCAAATTTTCACCAAAATTTCAAACTATTTAACCAGAATCTTTAGAAAATATGTTGGTATGCAGTTTTGTAGCCCATTCAATTCTAGTCTGAAGAAGTGCAAGTTTCAAGCTGCTAAAAAATTCCGTTGATTTTTGAGAATTTTTTCGGTTGAAGGTGTTTCACGTTTTTTCCATACAAAGTATGTTCGACAATTTTCTTTTATATAGGGACAGTCCAGCAAAAAAAATTGCCAAATAATCAACGGAACTTTTTAGCAGCTTGAAACTTGCACTTCTTCAGACTAGAATTGAATGGGCTATAAAACTGCATACCAGAATTTTCTCTGAAGATTCTGATTAAAAAGTTTGATATTTTGGTGAAAATTTACAGAATTTTAATAATTTTTGTACAAAGGTTGAAATCTGAATTTATTCGTTGTTTGTTGTATACCCAGCTTGACTTTTGTATAAAAATAATAAACATTAAATAAAAAAAAGACAAATAGCAAAAACTGACCAAAATAACGCACTCCTATTATTTTGTGGACCACTGTATGTATATAAGTGTCTGTAGTATTGCACAATTTTTTAGCATTTGACGTAACTAATGCGAGTAGTAATTTATTTTTAAATGATGATTATGGCCTATCTCTCTATTTCAATTCATATAAATATATATATAAATAATGTGTATATATATGTACATCTGTATGTATGGATGTATACATACATATAGACAAAAATAGGCTTCCTTATCGTGGTTGTCAAAACAAACAGTGACGTGAAGTTTTCACTTTCTTATCAAAAAACACTTATAGCCTTAACTTAGTTGCTAAAACTTAAAGAAACAAAATTTAAAAAAATTGCAAAGTACTTATGTTGTAACATGGCTACATATTTACTTACGTACATAGATAGTTTAATTTTCAGTAGTTCTAAGGCAATATTTGCCTGTACGAGTACTTCGTAAATATGCAGATTAAGTGCATGCCGAGCGTTTGTAAAGTGTTATGTAAGGCGTGTGCACTAAAAGCCAGAGAATTCTTATGGGCATGCAAGTCTAAATAGAAATAAATAAGTGAAACCTCTTAATATGGAAATTTAAATAAGCGGGCAGTCATAAAATATGAATAAACTTACATACATATACATAAATATGTAATTTCTGACAGACATTCATTCATGAACCTACAGAGTGCATACCCCAAACTAGTTTCATAGAATTTATTTCGATTTGATTTTTTTTTTTTTTGCAAAACGCCTTTAAGTTTGCACTCATTTCGTTTCGACTTGACATTGTCAAATTTTCGCCTCGCTTTATTACCATAAACGAGTGAATTATTTATTGCAAATTGACATTATAATATTTGTTTATTGGTTTAGTTTTTTTTTATACGTTATATGAACATGTCTTTTGCTCTCATTTGTTTGACTCTGGTAAAATACGAAATTGTCAGAGTTTACCAATTTTGGCATTACTACTACTCAATAAATAAAACCACTGTCGAGTGTAATTGGCTTGTGTTGATAAATCATGTCTGTTAAAAGTTTGCAAATAAGGTAGATTTTATTATTTGATTAATGTTTTTCACATTTTTTTTTAGGCAATTGCTACTACAGTCTTTGGTCAACTTAGTCATGATGCGATACTAAGATCAAGAACGCGTAAAAGAGATCCAAACATTTTATGAAAATGATCGTTCTGCAAGAAGTGCATTACGAGCATTGCGTGATTCTTTCTGTCAACAGAAATAAGGAACGAAACGATGTATCGATATTTTTGAAACATCGATATTGTCAATTCGAAATTCGCTGTTTTCACTTTTACAAAATCGTTAAACTCACGATGCATCCATGTCAGTTTTGACGATTTTTTAAACATCGAATTTTGTGTGCCTCAGACCTGCTTTTGATTTAACTTACGCATTATTTCTCTAAAAATTTATAACTGACCATTTATTATTATTTTTATATATATATTTTTTTCTGGCAATCCTATATGTAGTGTTATTGGTCTTATTTTTATTGTAGGCGCATTCTCAACTTGAACCCTATTTTTAATCTGTGTATTTAGACCTGAGAAGCCTAAAGAACATTCAAGTTTTCAGTACCTGTTTTAGGAGAATCAAAGCTATTTATGTATACTAGGGTAGTCCTTAAAATATCAACATCTTAATTTGTTAGGGGTTTTATGTGGTTTGAGGAGGATAATAGCTTTAAATATCGTAGGTATACTAGGGTGGTCCCTAAAATATCTAAATTTTTTTTTTGTATGGGTCACCGTTTTATTCTGCATAATTGGAATTAAAATATGATAAATGAAACATATTCCTAAAAAAACTTAAGCTCACTGAGTTATGAGTAAAATTTTGTTCGAATATGTATTTGCGATTTAAAAAAAATTTAATTAAAACCATTTTTGAAATACATATTTTTTTAACATTTTAATTTTTGTGTTTGTCTTTATTTTGTACGTAGAACGCGATGCTGGTATTTTAAGGACCACCCTAATGTATAATATATAAAAAAATTACCAAGTGGTCTCAGTTTTTTTTCTTTCCATGCCGAAAATTTCCTTAAAAAACTCTCGATCTTGGGCTTCTAAAGCAAGATTCTTTCTTAAAGAATCTGAAATTTTGAATTTATTTTCATTATTTGTAGTACGACTAACCTGTGCGTATACCGCCTATTGATTTACGAACTACATATTATATTTTCTTCCAATTCCAGCTACTTGGCTTGGCCGTCATTACTATTGGAATCTATGTTATCATCAAGCTCGAACATTTCAACACTGCCGCCTTCATAATCGCCGGTTTGGGTATTGTGGTGATCTTGACCGCTGTTCTGGGTACACTAGGCGCGGCACGTGAAAGCAGTCAAATCTCCAAAGCGGTAGGCAATTGTTTACATACATACATACATATATTTGGAATCAATTATTTATGTATTTTTCAATGCCACTTCCCTTTTTCATGCTGCCACATAGTTCGCCGTAATATTAATTTTATGGGTAGTACTACAAACGTTGACAGTTGGCTTCTTTTGGATATTCCAATCGACATTGCTGATCAATGTTGATAACACCTTCGATCAGTTATGGCGTAACCAGCCGGTGCCAATTAAGCCGGGAAATGCCAGTCAAATAGCGAGCATTGAGAGATGGGTAAGTATGATTGGTTTTTTTTCTTTCGAAGCGAAGTATAAATACATACATACAAACACAATTACATACATACATGCTCGTAAATCATATACTTATGTACAAGTCCATAAATCTATGCATGCAAATGTTGTAGATTAGGTATCTACGCAACTTGGAGGTTGGTTGTGCGCATGTGCGCATCGCTTGCTGACAAAAATTTACATGAACGCCTCGCAAATGTATGGACATGTGTTTTTCTAATTTGTAATGCATACATTTACGCGTATGGCATTACCCATAATTTTTCTATTATATCATGTTATGTAATTTATTATCGTTTATTTCCTCGATAGCTGGATTGTTGTGGCAATGTCGGCCCTAGTGACTACATGCTCCCGCCCTACAGCTGCTACAGCAGCACCACGGACAAACTGAACCTCGATGGTTGTCGGCAAAAGTTTCTTGAATATATTTCTGATCGCTGGCAGGCATTTAATTTCTTATCCATCGGCTTGGTGTTGGTTGAGGTGAGTCAATTGTTTAAAATTATATGCTTAATAAATTAAACATTATAAATAGAATTGACGAAAATTTATTTTTATTTCCAATCAATTTACAGCTGATTTGTGCTGCTTTCGCTTGGGTATTGGCAAACAGCATTGTGAATCGTTGGCGCCGCTCAAAATACTATCCCAAATAAGTAGATTTAAACGATTAATTTAAATGCGCATAAAGGCCAAAGAATTTCTATATTTTTTTGTACAAATATAGATATGCATATAGTGGTTACAAACGTTTTTATGCATGTATATGTATATGTATATGAAAAACCTACACATATTTTTGTTTGTAAACAGCGTACACACACAACGATACACACATATGTACATGTAAAAGTGTTTGTTATTTCGAAAACGATTTTTTTTTTGCTAGTCTACCTCAACATGCTCATAACAAAATTACTTAGCTAAGCTAAAGGCAGCAAAGTAATGCTCAATACTCAGCTAAGCTGGAAAATAACAAAAATTTTTCGCAAAGAAAGAAGCATAAAATATACAATTGAACATTGATTTAAAAAATTCACAGTAGTTACGTAACAAAAATGGTGTTCTGTAGTAAATAAATTTCGAAAATAAATTAGGAAGCAGCATAAATATTTGTATTTGTAAATTACTTACATAAAACTATGTATATTTTTCTGATCATTTACATGCTGTACTGTTGTTAACATTAGAATTAGTTTTTCGATGAATGTACTTTTGTAACTGATTAAAATTATGCATGCCAAATAACAGTTGTTGATTAATTAAGCAAAGTATAAAGTTTTATATTATCAAAAAATAAATATATTTACACTTGTATTTAAACAAGTTAGAGAACTATGCAAAAATTTACTTAGAACATTTGTAAGTATGTATCGTATTTTTTTGTTGTGCAAAAAAAATCATAAAGATATATCATATATATATTTTTCCTTAGGATAAGAGAATTTGTCTTGAAAAGAGGAACGAGGCATCCACGGATCTCTTCTAGTATGAACCCCCGTCACGGTATCAAAGTCTTGTTTGTCGATTGTCAAAAAATTCACACCCCCCTCTTCGAAACGTTGGATAACAGAGTGAGGCTCATCGACTTCGCCGGGTCCTGAAACATGGTAGTTTGCAGTACTAGGTTTAAGCATAAAAATATCCGCCAACTTACGTGACTGTCTCCAGATCGAAAACTGAGAAACCAAATAAATGTGATATAAAGGCTTTTGGTGTCTTGGATGTACATACGTACACTCCAAGGCCCAAAAATCAACTTGGACTGCTATCTTGTTGCAGCCAAGATATGCACACGCCTCTGTTTAGCAAAACATGTGCGCCCAACAAACCAAAGAAATCTCAAAGTCGAAAAGCTGAAATCACATTAGACGCCGCCTAAGAATGAGTCAGATTTCCGCCAAGAGGGTCACGCTACGATCGGGTGCAATGCGGGCTGCGTCGGACTGATACAGCGAACTGAAGAGGGAACCGATACGTTTTTTCCGCAATAAGAAAGTGCTTGAATTGCTGTCCGACAAGGAAAATGCCCGAAAATTTTACCAGAGAGTTAGGCCACTCACGAACGGTTTCCACAGCCGAATGAACTCCTGTACGAAAAACCATGTACACCTAGTGACCGATTTCTAGGAATTATCTAAATTATGGAGGGAACACCTTTCCACCCTATGGAATGGTAACAGCATTGAAAGTCGTGGAGAAGACAAACCTGAACCACCAGTCGATTATGACGGAGACGATGTTCCACCGCCGGACTATGACGAGGCACGAATAGCAATTACGCAGCTGAAAACAAAAAAAAGCTGCTAGAGCTGACGCGTCTATTCGGGATTCTCAGAATGAGATAGGGAAACAAAGCGCGTTTGTCTGGTGCTGAACGAGGACAAACCGAAGTATCTCTTGAGCTACTTCCTATGACTCGAAGTGTTCGAGAGAAAGACTCTGCAGAATATTTATGGGCCTTGTAGTACGAATCGACACAAACTCTTGGATTTGCTTCGCATTTTAAATAGGCACTAGTTGGAACAGAAGGAAAATAACCGGCGTGCTTTATTGACAGCTTGAAGTTGAAGCTAATACACTTTCGATTGAAAGATTTACAAGATTTGTTAGTTGATCTCTAGAGAGATTCCTTGAGAATGCAACTGAAACAATTATGACGAATGCAACTGAAACAATTATGACGATCTTCAATTCCATTATAAATGGTCATTGTTAATGGATCGAATTTTGCTTCGATTTTCTGCACCCTTCATAGAAAAAGTAGGATGTATTAAATATCGTGAAAAATATCTTCTTCATCCAAGTGATCAAGATGAATCTCGAAATTTTCTGATATTCGTTTTCTATTACGAATAGCTTTGACTTTTGACTCTTTGCATTTTTCTTTTGATTTGTTAATGGTATGGTCACACAAACTATTTTTCCCATCATTTAGTTTAGATATGTAAATGAAATTGATATCTTTCTCTGCCCAACAAGAAAATAGTGACTAAATCGAATGTTTATAATTAAATGACTTGGGTTGATACCGATTTCATAGCTTAAGCTCCCTCGATCTCCAACTAGTCGTGCATGCTGTTTGATAGTTGTCAAGAAATATTTTTTTAGGACGTCTCACCTATTGGTAAAGATGAAAAAAAAAACGTGAGTAGACCCTGTTGTGTTATGTTTACCCCTAATGTATTAATGTAATGTTTCTAACTGACTAATCCCTGACTGGTCGCGGTTTTTGCAGTGTAGGTGCAATTTGTGACGACATCATTATTTATTAGATGGCATAATGTTCCATAATGTGTCGGCCGCTGTGGTGTAGTGGTAAGCAGTGCGCGCTTCCACTCCGCAACGCCTGGGTTCAAACCCTGGTCAAAGCAACATCGCAAAAAAATATAGAAAAACGGTTTTTTCTTAACAGCGGTCGTCCTTCGGCAGTCAATGGCAAACCTCCGAGCGTATTTCTGCCATGAAAAACAGCTTCTCATAAAAAATGCAATCGCCGCTCGGAGTCGGCCAAACACTAACATATGTGTAAGCGCCAATCTATTATTATTATTCATGTTCCAAAATGCGGGTATAAACAATTATTGGTTTTTTAATATCGGAACCGAGATCATGTAAGTTAATTGATTGGTTTTCACACACTTTTGAAATATTAATTATATGCTTTTTTACTGCAGAATAGTTGTTGCCAAAACACAGCAGAAATCTTCAAATAACTTACAAATATAAAAATGTGAAATATCGAGGGCTTAAATTCCTTAATACACTCTAAAAAGTCTGTTTAAAAATGCGACTATAAATCGAGTATATTTTTGTTTATTTTTAAAATTTTTTCATTTACTCATTTTCGTGTGTAAAAATCCTTTTTGTTGGCGACTTTACACAATTCTTCGGATGAAATTAAACAGCATATGTGTATTTTGTAGCTTCTCAACACTTTCGTAGTAAATTTACGCACACCACAGCAGCTGAATTACACTCAAAACAGTCTGTTTTAGAACATTTTTTGCCGAGATTTAAACAAACTATTCGTTGAATAATTGAGCATGTAATTTCGTGAATAATAAGGTAGGAAATCAGTAACCTACCTTTTAGCTGGGAAATCTACACAATTTTCTTTAGAGTGTACCCTCTATCTGCAATTTTCACAAAAACTAATTTGTGATTTTAGAAACTATCTGGAACTTATTACCTGTCCTCACTGATATCTTACTTCTGATTTCCAATTTATAATAGTATAAATTCTTCTGTCAAGCGTTATATAAGGTATCATTACGAGGTGTGGCGCGCGGACGCGGGCCGCCGCGAAGCTAGGCAAATTTAATGTTTGAAGGAGCAATAATGTCAGTGGATTTTATTTCGCTTTTGAAAAGGTAATAATGTCAATTGACTTTATTTCGCAACAGGGTGTTAAATAAAGTCAATTGACCTTATTTCCGTTGATCTGATTACCTGTCACGACTTTTGGTATCGGACATACTTCTGAGACGCTTTACAAAGTAAGTTACGTAGAGGGTAGAGCAGCCGCTTGGAGTAGTTCGGTGCTTGGAAATAACTTCGGCGGCACGTTATTTTGCAACTGAGGTCCGAGATCAAGGGTGTTCATTTTGTGTTTTACTAGTAGATTACATTGGCTATGATGACAATTTTGGTACTAAAAACTGAAAGAAAGCATGGCTTACCTCGTAAGGTGCTTACCTATTTTCCCAGTGGGAAATTTGTTTACTTCTTATCTGCTTGGATTCAAATTTTTTTCGATAAGTAAAACAAAGTGAAATAAAGCCTCAAAAATAAATAAATCAATTGGAATGTTTTCGAAAATCTTTTCACAATTCATGTCAGCGCTAAAGCAGCGATTTCATTCTATGATCCAATTAAGCGTGTTGATATTGGCCTTTAAGGTCTTTTGGGCAGACACAATTTCCTATAGTAAAACGATTGCCATTCTCTCTGTTGCTGTCAGTGCCAACATAGCCATACAAATGTATATATATGTATATAAATGTGTGTGATGTAGCATATGTGTGTATGTACATTAGACCGCACCAGAAAGAAAGTTCGTTGCACACCTTCAAATGTAAAGTATTTTTGTAAGCAGATTTAGATTTTTTTTGCCGAACTAGATGTCACAAATGCAAAATACAAACTCATTGACATCAAATACATACCTCATTCCTTAACCATCAGATCTCAGTTCTTATCCCCCTAACGTACCACTCTAATGTCAGTAAATTAAATCTCGCATAAAAGCATTAAACTTCTGCTAAAGAAGTATTTTAATTATTCCAGTTGAACTATTAAAAAAGGTTCCAGCGAAAAATTAAAGAATTTTTTTTTTCGAAACAAAAGAAAGGTCAGAGTTTAGACCTTTGTTTTGTTTCCTTGTAAGGTGGTGCGGTCTAATGTCGATTCATGCATAGTGCATAGTTTCGCTGCGTAGGCGCAATCAGTCACTATTTAAAATTTCATAAATATTTTCGCTTTGACTTTGTTATGATTCTCTGTATTAATTTTGTTTTTGTTTCAGTTTTTATTGCATTTTCTTGGTCAGTGGTAATGACGATGCTGTTGACGAA